GTCACGTAGCTCTCAGCAGTGATCTCTACTACCCAGATTGTTTGCAAGGATTTGATCCTGAAAAACGAGTGACCCTTTTTAACCCACATTCAGCAGTGAGATCACAAAGCAGCTTGAACTCACTGCCTGCCAAACATCTGCTCTGAGACCAGACAGACACCGGATGTTACTGTGAGGGTAATGCAAACTAGTGAACCGTGTGAAATTGCAGAAAGTGCCTCTACAGTATACTGGATAATGTGCTGACTCATGCCATCTCTTTTTTTCCTCTTTGGCACAAACACTGAGTAACCTGATAGAGAGATAGTGATGAGTAATTTACTTTTGACACAAAGTACCATCAACAGAAATTCAGAAACGAGGTTCCCTAGAAGAACATTGCCTCAAACCTCCTCTCTCTCCTTCTGTTGCTCCATTGTCCAGTTCTGAGACTCGTGTGGCCGCTGTAGGCACTTTCAGTGATGGATGCTACAGTATCTGTTGTCAGTTTGCCCCTCAGCAAACTGTGATGCACTGTGTGTTCTGGCACCTGCACTATAAGGACAAAAGTATCTTAATTTTTGAATTCAAGGGCTTTTAGTCCCCACTTCTCACAAGTGGATAAAATCAAGCACCTAGTCACGCAGCTTGCCTTTGCAAATATTTATGAAAGAATGCATCATTCTAAAGAACTTGTGAATTTAACTCTGGTGTTGTAATAAGATGTTTGAAAAACGTCTCATCTTCTTCATAATCCAAGTGGTATTATTGCAGAGTGGAAGTTAGTGAGCTCCCAGTTTGGATTTGGGAGACAGACACCCTCTCTCATTTTATGATTAGGCTTAAAACTTTCCTTTTTGATAAAGTAAATAGATAGGGCTGAATCAGGTGAGCCTGGATTGACCCTGGCTATAGGCTGCTCCTTACTCACTATGTGTTTATACACCACTCTGCAATTAATCATTAGCTATTATTAACCATTTTTTGCATGAATTATGACAACCTCAATCATTCTTTTCTTAAGTATTTTTCATCTTTAGGCATAAAAAAGATTTTTGAACATCATTTTTTTAAACTTACTTTTCAAAGAGTTTTTTACATGTCCACTTAGGTGGACAACACTGGCTGACCAGTGGGTGGCATGGTATTTAGTGACACATGAGTGTCCAATGTAGTGGTTTATGTTCAAGTACCATCAACACTGACAAAAATACAAGAAAACAGCCTTTGAATAGCTGTCCACTGTAGTGACCACTATGCATGAAGGCTTACTTCCACAGTATGTCTTTGGTCTGGAGAGTTCTTCCTGTTAAAATGGAGTTTTTCATATCCACTTTTGCCAAGTGCTTGCTCAAAAGGGGTCATCTGATTGTTGGGATTTTCTCTCTATTATGTAGGATCTTTACCTTACAATATAAAGCACCTAGAGGCGACTGTTATTCTGATATAAATAATATTGAATCTGCTCTTTCTAACAGTCCATGTTTTGACCGTCACCTACGAACAGCTGCAGAATTAAGGCACTTTGAAATGGGGTGATTTGCCTTCTCAGCTTGGGCACCTCACTCACTCACTGGAGTCAACATTACACTTCAGTTAACATCACTGATGCAAACTGTGCTGCGTTTAACTAGTAGCATAAAATGACATATGTGTCACCATTTAAATCTTTTCATGATATCCAGATCTTTGTCCCAACAAGGATAAAAACGACGGCAGATGTAATGACGGTAAACGAGTAGTAAAGGAGTGATTACACTGATCCATCAGCAAAATAAATGCAGGGCCATCTGTTATTTTGCGGCCACGATAAAATACCTTTTGCTGCTTCTAATGTGAAATCTTTGGCACTGTTGTTGCTGATGTTGGGCTGATGATTATAAGCATTATTAACTGTCTTGGCTTCACATGCTCATGCAGCAAGGTACTAATTTTGTGAAGCTAGGCTCTCGTGGAAGACTATGATTACCGCCCAGACCTTAAGAAGGCATAATACGAGTGCTAATAATCGAAGAGAGCAGTGTCAGTAGAGCAGAGTGTCATTATAAATGAAAAAAAAAAAACATACAAAAGAAATCTCCCTCCTAGTCCTTTTCATTAGTTGACAGTTTATTCTCCAGTGAGAGGACTAAATAAGGACTGTGTCATTGGCTGCTGAGGCTAAATAGTTTGTGGGCCCAGCTGGTCAGTCACAAGGGAGAGAATTAAAGGCTAAAAATGGAAGCAATTTTCTTGCAAGATTAGCCTGCGAGGAAACTGAGAAAGATGAGTTTAATGAAGCTTTATGTCACAAAATTTACCCATTCAGTTATTTGGTGGTGGATTTCATCTTAATTTTAATTTGGTATTAAAGTCTTACGTTGTGATTAACATACAGCATTGTAATTACTTTGCAACACAGCAGAAAAAGAAATCAGGAGGAAGAGTTGGAAGCATAATAAACTTCCTGCACTCTGCATAAACGATTCAGAGCGAAGAGATTTTTATTGTGCTGATAAAAAGATTTCTATAAGTCAGTTATGTAAAAGTTTCTCTGGAACTGTATTTGTAAAATGAAAAGCGTGCCCTCAATAGAGGCTTTCATTGTTTACTAAAGAGAGCCATCTACTGGAGAATAGCCTATAATGAACTGTATTCAAACAGATGTAAATTGCATAGTTTTGGGCTTTAATTTGGTGTTTTTTGTCAGATTCCACATAGAAAAATAAGAACAAACACACACGGTTATACTTGCTCCAAAATAAAAGACAAAACATATTATCCTTTCATCTGTGGTTCTTGTCCCAAACATCTGTGGCCCTTGTTTAGTCATTACTGTGACACAAACCAGTGATTAACTGGCTTTATAGTCATGCCACTTCCTTTCCCAACCCATAACATCCTTGGCTCCTGTTTTTTCCACTAAAATGGAAATGAAGGTTTGGCACTTTGCAGTAGATGATGTGACAGCGGCAACAGTTGTATGAAGGTCAGTGTGATAGAAATGCGTTTTACGACGCTTGCAACCTGAAAACCATGCATGGAACACACCATCCAGTAAAACGTAATGGGCTATATCATGTGATATTTCAGGTTCTCAGGCTGTTCAAGTCAGCAGCATCCAGCATCCAGTGTCTATGTGGCTCTACATGTATTTGATCCCTGTGTTCTGTCTTTATACATAAAGTCCAGTACTGGATGCAAGTAAGCATCTAAATGAATGTGTAATAATAAAAAATATGACAACAAAAAAATAGCTATTCAGACGGTGCACTAGCTCCCCGAGCTTTTCTCTCAATTCAATTGTGAAGCTTGTGACAAAAACCAATTCATCACACATACCATTGCCCCTCTTTTCCCCTCTGGCTCATTTCCCCAAATAATTTAGGATCTACTGCCAAAGATGTTGGTGATGTGTTTGGAAAAATAAGCATCTTTTCAAGGTGATGATGACCCTTTCTGAGAAAAGGAAGGGAAGCCTCTGAAAATCCAATTATCCAAAGGCCTGCCTTTTTTTTATTGCCATCAGCAATGCTGGCCCATCAGCAGCATAGCAACTGTTTCCAACAATTGCCCCCACACTAATTCTATCGCTGTAGCCAGACTTGCCCAGGGTGTGGACATTAAGCTCAATTTTCATCTAAAAGTGATTGCATAATGTCTGACAATGCAGTTGAGAAAATTGGGTGTTAAGGTATAAATGGGATGATAAAAGGAGGCAAAACTTGATTTGAGAAACAAAAAATGGGAAAACTTTTATTTTATTCATGCATGTAAAGCAAATGTTTTCACTTCCATTTAGTAAAATCTCAGACTGTTAACTAAGGAGTGGGTGCATTCAAATGTTGACATCACTACAGTAATTAATGAACAAGAATAATTAATGACAATGTTAGTAATTTAGATACTTTAAGCAATAAGGGACCAGCAAACTGATTGAAGGCAAAGAATAGACAAATACAGGACTACAGGCTATGAAACCATCACTGGTGGATGTACATTTGACAGAACTTACTCCTTATAGGACATATATCATAGATTATATACTATAACTTAATCACTATTCCTCCAACGCGAACATAGAGCAATTTATTTAAACATATCCAAGTATACATGGAAATACAGCATATAAGGCAAAAACAGAACTTTTGAAGGGCAATATTTGCATGACTATCTTTATTCTTTAACACAGCCTGAACTCCCTTTGGCAGTTTCTTTAAGTAGTCTTCAACAATAGTTCTGCAGGGTTCTGGAGGACAGTGGCTTTGGGGTCATGTTGAAAATTGAAGCCATTGCCAATCAGATGGTGCTGCATGGTGAATCCAAATCTGACAGCGTTATTCTGTGGTCATAATACCATAAATTTTAACAAGATCTCCAACACCACTGGCAGAAATGCAACCCCAAACCATGACAGAGCCTCCGCCGTGTTTTATAGATGACCGTCGACACTGTCATACCTCTCTCCTGACCTCCTCTTTACACACTGATGATAATTTGAATCAGAAATTTTGATTCACCACTCCATAAAGTCTTGCTACTGATTTTCAGTGACGTTTTTGTGTAATTTGGCATCGATCACTATTTTCTCCCTGTTTGAATAGCTTATTGAAAGCCACCCTTCCACTGAGACCACTTCTGATAAGGTTTCAGTGAACAATAAATAGATCAACTGAGGAGCCAGATGCATGTTTTGGGTCCTGTGTCAGGTCTTTGCTGGATTTTTGCCTGGTTTCCAAAGGATATGCTGTATGTAGATTCAAATGCAACTTGTTGGTGCAAAAATACTATTTTACATGCATCAAACTGTGTTACTGTTGGTATTTTTCATAGATTCAAGTAAAGAAATGAAAACAAATGATGTGTTTTTGTGACAGGCTGCCTGAAGATACAATTTAAAATATATTTTGTTCTTTTGTTGTATTTTATGTGTAGACACAACACTGATTCACACCTCGAGTTGTCTTTTTATGCTCGAATGATTCACAGGTCAGTGTTAAGTGCTTAACAACAAAAGAGAAGAAGCATTCCTCTGAAAATGGTACATTTCAAGGACTTTACTATTTCGTCAAAGGCAAAGTGACAAGAACAGGGGAAGGATTAAGCTTAACGAGTCCAAAGAAAAGAAATAACTCAGAAATTTAGTAGAGAGTAAAGAAGTTTTTTTTAAAGAAATCAGATCCATTCAAACTGAATTCATTCATTAAACACTTGAAGGCAAAATAATAATAAAACGAGCAGTCATTGCACTACAACGTTTACTGAATGAATGAACAACCTGTTATCTTGGTCTTATGGAGCGAGCAAAAATATCAAATATGAAACCAGTTTTCTGTGGGAAATCCAGAACAATCAGTAATCTCTACTGAAATACTTGTTTACATAGCAAACACTCACATAGACAACTAAACTGATGAGAATAAACTGCTTCTGTTCATTCATCCACACAAGCCTCATCTTCACCTGGATGTCAGAATCCTGATAGTGGATCAGGTAGTGCTCACCGTCATAGTCGTAGCACACGGGCGTCCTTTCCAGCTCCGCTGAAACGGGCGAGGTGACACACTTGAAGGGCTTCCTAAATTCATCTAGCAGAGTCAGACTCATAATGCAGCAATTCTACAAGAAGTTGAAAAGTAAATAAGTGCCAGTGTGTATATTTTCTGCCTGCCACACCACTGCTGGGAATTTTATGCTTGTGTAGTACCTCCACTGTGCCCTGCAGGGCCTCACAACGCCAGGGCAGGGTGATGTCACCAGACAGAGATGTGTGCTGGGACAGGTTTGTGCTGCTAATGACTGTTAGCTGGATCAGCCCATCAGAGATCTGAGCTAGACAGAGAAAACACCGCGTGTAGACATTTATACCCAATTTAAGACAGCTAAGCAGTTTAAGTCTACAAGCGCTGTAACCATCAAACACAAATAAACACAAATTTTTTAGTGAGTTTAGCTAAATTTTAACAAATTCAGAGGCTGTATCATATCAGTAGATTATTATGTATAGCAGTTCTTACACCTAAAGAATGAAAGTTAGACTATGTGGATTAACGCTTTAAAATACTGAATAAAGACTTGAGTAAAGAAAGTGTTTTTGTGTCACTTTTTTCTACAATGATCAACATTTTCTCTGCATTTTTGTTTTGTTGAATGGAATTACTCTTAATGTATAACAATAATGGAAATCCTTAGAGTGATGCAAAGTAGCCTCTAAAGTGATTGTATTGTCTGGTGTATGACTAGCTGCTAATAAAAAAGTAAGTACTAAGCTGAAATATTCCAAACAGCACTTCAGAAGTCTCTTTTTTTTATGACAAGAGTATAGATCGCAGGCTCACAAAAGCATTCAGTATTCTGAAATACCTTTCTGTATAACCTCCCTTTTATTCCACATATCCAAGTTTCCTGCCATATAGCTGAGGTTTAATTAGTTTGAAAAAGCAAGCCTGTAAGTGTTTGTCACACATGTGAAACAAACTATGGAGGCACATAAAAATAGTGCTGTACATGCCTAAATACAAATCGACTGGTCTTAGGAAATAAATACAGTCATAAATTTGCAGAAAAAAATGGGAGGAAAAAATCACAGCAAATGAATTCTTGATATTTAGGACTCTGTTTTGTATCCCTCTTAAAGTTACTATACATGTAAAACATAGCTATACTGTGGTTTTTTTTTTATATATATATTACCCACACAGTACAGAAGATTATTCATATTTCCTTGGCATAACTCACAGTGCTACTTAATGAATGTGGGTACAAAATGTGGGTATGAATGGATTACTTCTGCGGCAGAAGAGCTGGGAAAAGCTTCCGGACATGAGCTCGCATACAGTGTTGTGGAGAACAATGTGTAGCTGGTAACCATGGAGACCGTATTCAGGGTCTATATCACAGAAAGGGGGTTGGACCACCGGCTCCACATAAGAACTGAAAGGGGAAAAAGGGAAAGAGTTGATAAAACCAGAAAGTGTAAACTCTGTCTAGTGGGGGGGGGGGGGTATCATGACAAAAGCATTTTCCTAAAAAAAGGCAAAGATCTATTAATTTTGTGGAGCATAATAAATAAAAGTGCTGTACTCCCACAGGAAACCAGGAGAGGGTGCTATATCCTTACTATGCTGAAGTACGGTATCATTAACACTGTGTGGTCCTGAAAATGTTTTTGTTTTCACGTGGATGGAAAGTAAATTACTGTTGGGTAATAACTCATAAGCCTCTGGAGCACCTGCGAGTCTGAGTGTAGACAAGAGCTGTGAGCACTTCCACCAGACAGCAGAGTTTGTACAATTCTAATCCTGAAAACTAATTAAATTAATTAAATTGTTAGTTCTCCAGGCTTCTTAACCCTTCGATGCACAACCTACCAATACGTACACTCTTCCACGAGTGGGGTCAAAAATGACCCCAAATAGAAACAATGCATTTTGCTATAAACTCGGTTGTTATTCTTCAAAATCTTTAAAACAAAGAGTTGTAACATTCTCATATTTGAGGTATTCCTCATAAAACATCTTTGTGACATGAGGCCTTTTGCATTTTTATTTATTTTTTCATTAATTTTAAGAAAGTGCAGTTTTTGTATCACTTGTACCACTTCTGTATGCTTGCTCTGCATATACTGCAGAAGCTGAGCCTTCCCTCTGAAAGGCACAAGTTGTTCATCCACTGTAACACAATCACTGAGGATGAATTTCTGCCTGCAGTTGACCAGGAACAGGTCCCATATGTAGCAGAAAACTGCCATGTGGTTTGTTTTCAGTCCATAGGCTCTGGTCCTCTTGTCATCAAAGTGCAAGAAATGGCGAATATCTTTAAATCTTTGAATTGACATAGTGGCCTTGTACAATGGGTTATGCAGAGGACTCCCAAAAACACACCAACTGGTACATCCCAGTTCTTCTCACTTCCTACAAGAATGGTCAATCAAATGAAGGCCAGGAGCTTTTGTTTGATTACATTTTTCCACTCTTTTCCCCTGTCTGTGGCTACTCTTTGTGCCTCCATGTTTGTGCATGTCAGCACCTCTTCTATTATATTATCAGACATGAACATCTATTGGGGAGACAGTACTAGACCCAGGTGCAAGCCCTGGCCGACTAATTCAGAATATTGTGGCTAGAGCAGTAAGAGGGGCTCATACTGTTGGACTCAATATCCATTTCCTCTTCAGAGGACTCATCAGAGGACTCCTCTGTATCTGACTGGCCTTGTTCAGTGTGGGGGACAGTAGTCTGGATACTCTATATGTTAGATGTCAGATTCTGAGTCAGTGCCTCTGATGGGCTCTTCATCCCATCCGTCCTGGATCATTTGTAGGGCCACAGGGATCCTAGCTGGCCTCATAGCAGCCATGTTAAATATTTTTAAAAAATCAGAAAGGGCAATGTTTGAAATGCACAGGAAACTATAAACAGGGGTGTACATAAGTGGTCCTCAGGTGCGCATTTGCTGTCAAAATAAAAGACGCATACCAGATAAGAAGTTGGAACGCTCGTTTGCGTACATTAGATGTTCTGGAGGAGGACAGACATTTGTTCAGAACTCTTAAAGATGTTGAAGAAGCAAGCTCCGTAAGCAATTACTTTGGTATCCCTCCACCGCAAAAGAAGCGTGTATTCTCAGAATTTCTGGGAATACTTTTATTTTGACAGCGAATGCACACCTGCGGACCACTTATGTGTAGCCCTGACTATAAATCGTGTATGTTACTGTGTAAAAATTAATTCTTGATCCATCAGAAGTTTAAGTGGGACAGTCAGAGTTGCTAAGAATGAAAGTTTCATAGAAGATTCCACAGGAACTGCTTGGGGTCATTCTTGACCCCACTTGTGGAAGAGTGGGGTAGTGATACAAAAACTGCATTTTTTATAAATGAATGAAAAAATAAATAAAAATGCAAATGGCCTCATGTTACAAACATATTTTATGAGAAATACCTGGAATATGAATATATTACAACTTTGCATTTTAAAGATTTTGAAGAAAAACAAAACACGTGTGCATCTAAGGGTTAAAGGACATTCAAAGCTCTTCTTTGGAAGCCAGCTGACCTCTTACTGACGTACTGACAATGACTTGAACTACAAATTTCTAATCTGAATTCATCACCCCATAAAACCTGTTTCCAATGAGTTTCACTCCAGTTGTGTAATTCTCATACTTCAGCATTTTCTCCCTCTTTCCCTTTGTTAAGAATTGCTTCTTGACAGCCAGCCTCCCACTGAGACCATTCTTTCTACCATGTCTTTGCTGAATGTTTTGCTATTTCTTAAACACATGACTTTGAGGTACTGTTCATCTGCTGTCATGATTTTAGGTCTAACACTTCTTCTTCTTTTGTCCTTGTTGAGAATTTTCATCTAATAGCTCAATTAGCCCAATTTAAAATTGGTTCTTTGCTAAGCTGTCTGTTATGTGGAGAAATCACACTGAATCGTCCCCTGAGTTGTGGGCTCTTTCTGTGCTCGATTGATTCGGTCAGTGTTAAATGGCTTAACAAACAAATAAAGAAAAACAGTTTTCTGAAATTGGACTGCAAATAATTCCAAAGAAAAACTATTTCAGAAACTCAAATCCCACTGTACAGTGCATCACTGCAGGAGCAATACTGTCAGTCTATACATCCCTTAAATTTGAGACGCAGCACACCTTGTATGGATGTTCATAAGAGGGGCTGGTTATAGTCCAACCTACCAAACAGAAGATCCCTGAGTGCTTCTTTCCACCAGCTTGTGGAAGTGGAGGGTGAACATGATAAAGGCAACTGAGCACTGGTCCTAGAAAAAAAAGATGCTTAAAGATGTCACTTCTCCCTGTGATAAATACTGTGTATCTTGTTCTGCTACTCTAAGCCAGTGAATAATAATCAAAACATGGGATGAATGCCTGAGGTAATTACCCTCCAGACACCGATGATGATGCCAGGCTGTAGCAACTTAAGCTGCACCAATCTGTCCTGGCCAATGACTTGCATGTTCTTAGTTAGAGTCTGCATGTCTAACTTCTCCATGAGGGACCTACAAACAGGGCTGACAGAGGAAGCAAAGACAGCAGTTGGTTTTACTGAGACAAGAGGCGAAACAAAGGGTGCAGATGGATGTCAGCTGCCTTTACCTCTTTGGGCTGACGCAGGCTAGCCTCCTGACACCGTACAGCTGAAGGGTGGAAATCTGCTGGTAGTCGGGCAAGCGGTCTCCTCCGCTCCAGCACAGTGTCACTGAAGTCTCAGTGAACTGGGACCGGCTCTGCTCCAAAGTGCTCTTACGCCCTGACTTACCCATGACTGTCAGTTCCCAGGTGACGTTCAAGTTTCTAGAGTTAGAAAACAGAATGTAGAATTGTAGGAACAGGACTTTTTGCAGTTTTGCAATAAAAGCAAGAGAGAGAGAAGAAGAGAGCAGGTGAGAGTGAAGCTAAGCATGGCAGAAGTGAACAGGTTCTTTAATACCAAATACCACATAAATAGTCCAAATGAATCATTGAACAAAAATATAATCCATCCATTTGTCTTCTAATTTATTACAGTGAAAATAACCGGGCAGTGTTTGGCAGCGTTGCTCTTTAAATCAGAAAAATTACAAGTTTATTTGCTGTTACATCTCATTTGTCAGCAGAGGGAAGTAGTAGGACTCCAGTTAAAGCTGTTCTTGCTAATGAAATGATATGCAACGAATGAAATTAAAACTGCAGCTGTTGTGACGAATCTCTTGATCCAGTTCTGTCTAAACTGTGATTCAGGGCTGCCCCTACTGTGATGCAGCCGGCGCCTCGCTGAGACACCATCCAATATCAATTAGGTGGGGGAACAAAGTTAAAAACTGGAGCAGCCCAGGGGGCTCCAGCAGCTGACCCCAGGGATTTCACTCTGCACTGCCTGTATGCTTGACGTCTTGTGAAATGATTATTACCAAGGTAAATCGCATGCTCCTCATGGTCTCTAACAGACAAAAAAAGCCCTATAGGGAGTTGTCTGAGTCGGTGGGAGGAAGGCTGAGGTGTGCGTGCATGCATATGTCTTCTGTGGATGAGGGGTTGGGGGGCTAAGTAATTTATTTCAACAATTCAGACAGCCCCTGCAAGGAACACAATTATTTCTATTTCCCCTCTGTACCACAGCGACTGCCACAGAACTCAATATTGAGTGCAGCACAGCCTCTAATCAGAGGTTATAAAAACACAGCAGAATCTGCGGTGGAGGTGGCGAGGGAGCTCTCCCCTGCGTGCTGGCATCCCCCTGAGCAGACATCACGTTCAGAAAGAGACCTCCTTCCTCACCTTTAATAAGAAAGTGTCATTAAGTGTGACATCAAAAACAAACCATACTTTTTGTTTTTGATTACCAGCAGCTTGAACTATCCTCTTGTTGTGTTCTCCCCCCACCTCTCCAACCTTGAACTTTCTCAACAGCGAGGGTAGATCTCCAAAGTTTTGCTATTTGCTAACAGCAAACAATGAACAAAGGCTTCATACAGCTGCTTCCAAACAAATACCAAATCCCCGTTAGAGCACAGACACAGCACGGATCAACACACCTCCTTTCAACTAAAAGGATATAAAATTCACTATAAAAGTAGTTAACATGAGCATTTAGAGAAAGAATAATGACATATTTTTCTTTCTAAATGTGTTTGAGTAGGTGATACATAAAGTAAATGGAAAACCTAATTCCTTTGAACTAAACTTGGGTTTTCTCTCTTTATCTGTCTCACACTTCACCTGAGGACCCACTCTGTTTGGCTGGGTAGCCCTGTGTGAATACTGATGAGTCCAAGCCGCCTCGTCCACTTGATCATGTCACATTCGGCTACAGTCTTGAAGTACAGCCTCTTATAGTAACCTTCGGGTCGATCCTGCACCTCCATCGTGGCCATCCTCAACAGAGATTTGTCCATGCACTTTTTATTCTTGCTGAAATCCGCAATGTAAAGCTTTCTCCACAGAGCACTGCAATGACAGCATCAGGAGAGTGACCGACTCGGTCAGAAAGGTTACAAACCAGTACAGTATGTCTAGTGTGATCATTTCTTACAGGGTGGCCAAGAAAAAAGAAGTTTAAGTTTTATTCATCAGAATGACAATATCAAAACATCAGCAGTGAAATTTCACGTTTGAATAAGTTTAATAGTGAATTCTTCCATTATAGGAATAATCTTTTCTACTAAGAGGAAACTATTTAACCCTGTGATGCCTGAAGCATGAAATCATTCCAGAAAGTTCTGATATTTTGGAAAACACGACTGTTTATTGAACCTATTGGAAAAAAATTAAAGAAAGAAATTAATGTCAATTTGCATATAGTATACGCTTCAGTTTGTATCATTTTTGCCACACTTTGTGCAAAAAAGAATCACACTGATGACCTGGAGCTCTCAAATACTCATGTATTAAATATGACACACTTGGCATTGCAGACAACACTGATCACCGAGTTCTTGGTATTCTTTGGTAGTTACTGGAGGACATTTGGGTTCTGATTGTGGTTCTGACCAACAACAAAAAAATCAATGTGTCAAGACTGTTGAATTGACCATAGGCTGCAATCTGGCTGGCTTTTTTACATTTCAGAATATGTCCTAAATGATATATAAATATATATTTTGATTTGTAGGACGTGTTTTTCACTAACATGAAATGTGTTAATGAACTAGACCTTTAATAAAACAAGTTTGTGCATCCACAGAGTGTCATGATCCTTGCCAAATCATGCAATCACAAAATCACAATTTTGAAATGTAAACTTTGTGCATTTGGATTGCCTCCAAAAGGTGGAGAGCTAGATGCTTCAGTACATAAGCTCAGTGAGCATCTCTAGATAGCTAGATATGTGGCTTGAATTTCAGGCCAGATATCCAGAGATATGTGGCAGGATTAAAATTGGAGTAAAAGACCAGTGGAGCATAGCAGGTAATTTTTTCTAAGTATCTAAAAAGAAACATGAACATGAATATCAATGCACCACATATGGGTGCCGAAGCTTTTAGGTATGTTTAAGTAGTTGAGGAACTTGGGACCATGCTGTAAAGTTTCCTCTTTCAAGGTCTAATGCTTTTTCTCAGAAAAACAGAAGAAGAATTGGGGCAAAAACCACAGAGCTCCCGTGCCTTGGACTTAAAGGTTCTACTGTAAGATTTGGAGGCATACTGTCCCTTTGCTATTGGATTAATTAACATAATCATGTATTTAATAAACTGTGGAAGATGCACTGACGAGATGGTACTTACTTGCTGTTGGCAAGCTGATAGAAGATCTTATTGATGTGGTTTATGCAGCAAAGTGTAGAAGCATCCAGGTATGACAAAATCTTAATCAGGATCTCAGATGGCAGTCTATGGAAAAGGTAATTAGACATGACTACAAGGATGTGACAGTGTGCCTTCATGCCTCCTACTGTTCAGATTTCAGTCTATGAGATAAATGTGTTCTGAAAACACTGCTTGGAAATCGTGTCATACACTTCTGGCAATAAAGTGAAACTACTTATCTCTATGTTCTGTTCTAGTAGATATGGTGAAAAAAAACATAAATATGTAAAGAACTCAGCTGAGATTTTTAGATCTAAAGGTCTAATGAAAGCCATCCAACCATCCATCCATCTATCCATCCATGCCTGCTAATTACAAATACTGCTAGGTTTGTTGGCTCACAGCTGTCCTGGTTAATGATGCCATTGCTGTCCAATTAAATCACTTGAGTGAGCAATAAATTCATCTTCCTATCACCTGCCTGCTCAGTCACTGTCATTTCACTACATATCAACAACCAGATTAAATTACTTCAAGAATAAATTAATTAAGAAACCAGATTGGGCGTTGTTTTAACAAGGCGAATGATTTCATACGACAGCTTTAAAGTTCAGATTATCCAAACAGCCATCCTCTCACTGACTAAATTCTTGCAGCTGTAATAATAGTTAGCAAAAATAGATGTAACATGTGATATTAGAGCTCAAAAGTTCAACTTAAGTCTACAACCATGGCAGTACAGAGCAGTGCTTTGAGCTGCATACGACTGTTACCTACATGCTTACTTTACAATGGGCTTGCATCATCTCACAGTGCTAACATGCTCAGATTTTGTCATATGTTAGTATTTCTGTATTGACTGATTCATGCTAAATACAAATACACTGAGGCTAAAGGGAATGAAAATTTATTTTTCAGTTATTTAGTTAGAAATTAGAAGGAGCAGCAAAGGAGACATGAGCATTTCTGCACCTCCCTTTTCTTCTTTGCATGGTAGAGTTTTAACTTGAAAGTGTGATGATGATTTTCAGTGATGTGGTGCTTTCAAGGCCAGTCTCCAATATCCGATACAAATAGTTTAACACAAATGATTGAAATAATTCAATTGTTTGATATTTTTTTCTTAAAATGTTACAATCAGATTTAAGATGTGCATATAGTTAAAATAAATAAATAAACAAAGGGATCTGAAAAATATAATGTCTTTAGACCAACTGAATTTGGTCACAACCGTGATTGGTATTTTTATTTTATTTTATTTTATTTTTCTGTATATTTGAATCAGTGAAAAGATTATGAAAATAAATCCGGGCTGCACTCCAAACCTCTAAGACTCTAACCATTGTTTAATAAAAAGGAAAGTCTGAGCGAAACAATTATTTCTGCTCGTTGAGGCGTTCAGACTAAAACAAATATTAAAAACAACGCTGTTGCTAAATATGAACGATTAGCTGTTTTAACAGAATCATTTTGGTAGTAGAGGCAGCAACCGTCTACTGACTGACCTGTTTTTCTGTGTTGTAACTGCCTACATTTAATGGGAAAGAATCCAACTGCTTAATTCATGTAGTAAAGTGTTTTCCACTTGAATTGATTTACGCTGTGCTGTTATTGTATTTGTTGCTACAAATCCTTTTACTTTGAAGTCTATAAACAGCAGATCCACTGTTTGAGCGCTGAATGCCACAAAGATTAAGAAGAAGAAATGGCATGTACCGTGTATAGTCTCTGCATGCACTGACAGATTACCTTTCCATAAAGCTCTGAGTGGACGCTGGGGATGATTTGTCAGTTCTTTTGGACGTCCTTAATGCTCGCCCGGGAACGACTGCTTTCGAAGCTGCCATTTGTTCCGCTGGTCTTGACAACTTTGTGACAGTTACAAGATAATTTATATTTGCAAGGTTTTAAGGTCGTGAAACTTTAAAAGAGCGTTTATTTGACAGCTTTTTTACTTAAAGACCGTGAAGATAATATCCGGGATCCAAAATGAACAGCTGGTACTGTGTTAAATCCATGAGTAGGCTACATTAAATGACTTAATTCTCCTTGTGTGCTAACGAAATTCCGTGAAAGCGTCCGGTCACCTTGGTGACATCGGGTCCAACGTCTTCCGGCGGGAGGAAGCACAAATTCCTTCAAAATAAAAGCAGAATATAGATAGATAGATAGATAGATAGATAGATAGATAGATAGATAGATAGATAGATAGATAGATAGATAGATAGATAGATAGATAGATAGATAGATAGTCAATTAAACTTCTGGTCATTTAAGTAGCAGAGGGGTTTTATAATCAGTTTTAACTGCTTCGCATTGATTACATTAACAGCAGATCCACTAGAGAGGCAACAATGAGACAACAAAACAAAACAGGATTAGTTTAACAGATGGGGGCCAATGACATTTTCACCATCTTCATCCTTTTCTGACCTTTTTTTTTTTTTTTTTTTTTTTTTACCAGTTTTACATTTAGATAGTGTCGGTGTCCCTAATGGTACCTGGACCCTAAAGAAGTTGCACACATAGTCCTACTCCACCAAGATGGCACATCAACATGTTGGTTTGTTGTGTCTCCCAGCACAGTCTAACCCTAACCCCAACCCTGGTCTGGGGAGGCTTATCCATGGAAGGACACACAAAACTCTACTGGCTAGGCAACAACACAGCAATGCCCCCCTTGATGTATGAAGGCAGCTCCTGGAGCGTGAAGGAATTGATAGCATTGACTGGCCACAACGCTCCCCTGACCTAAATCCACTAGAATATCTCTGCTTTGGTCCAGCTACAAGCAGGTGGGGGTCATGCAAACTACTGAGTATAATTTTGAGTTGCTGCAATGACATTTCACCAAAATGAATTAGCCTGCTGCATCATTTTGTTTTTCACTTTGATTTTTGGAGTGTCTTTGAATTCAGCTGTATTCAGGTTAATAAAGGAAATCAAGGCATTTAGCAGCATCAATCATCAATCATTGGACTCAGCTACTCCAGTTAGGCTAGTTACATCCCTTCTGTTGATTTTACTAAATAACTGTCAAAAAAACAAACAAAGAAAACTGCTGCTACTATCAGCTTATTAATTTAAGGTAAATACAACCATGTTGACATATTCAAATAGGCACACATCTTAACATACTATAGTACAACATCAAATAATATTATGTAACTCTCACTGTTAATGTGTTAGCTAGATTAACAGTTAGCACCCACAATGTGTTAGAGAGTTGTTAGCGAGTTTACAGTTTTACACAAGTTTGGCTCTCATTTTCAACATGTTTGAATCGATAATTAGTCACCCTTTAGTTTTTGTTAGCCTCACAGACCAAGAAATGCTATCAGCTGTACACACTCGACAGAGGCCCAGAGTTATTGTAGATGAACATTTAAACAGTTTTACAACCATTACACATGTACAAAGAACTCTGCAGCCTGTAAACATTGAAATATAATAGAAAAATTTAAGATGTTATACGTAAAACATCGGGAGAAGGTTTCATGTAAATGTAATTTGTTCTTCTCATTTAAAGCATGACGCAAAATCTACATTATTATCAATGACTACATTTACAGTGGGCAAAAATGTGTGAGGAGGAGACCATCGGGGCCAAGCTGGATCTGGATTTCTGGATCCAGTGGTTTTTAGAAATCTCCTCCTCTTCTTTCATCACAGCTGTCCTGTCCCAGATGTGCTGTTGATCCACTGAGGTAGATGTCTTTTTAGAAACATCAGGAGGACTGAAGCTTAACTCAGTAATAAAGGAGGACATTTAATCTTCACCAGCAATCTTCAACCGACTGTGCAAAATATATGGATTTATTGTTAACAGTGTTTTGATCAGCTGCCCTGGGCGTCTTCTATTAATGCTTCATTTTATGTTTCTCAAAGGATGTAGGCTACAGAGCATACAGTCATTTAGTCTTTCATATAACTCTAATAATAATTCAGAATGCTTTTTAACCTGAATATTTAAAAACTCTCACTTCCAAATCTAGACCTATAAAGAGCTGGTGAAAGTCAGAAATGTAGACATAAATTTTAGTTTCAGCTCATATGTATTAAGCTTTGCCATTTTCTTTTGACATATTTCGCTGAGTAAAAGCAGCTGTAGTCACTTCATAAATGCAATAAGAGCTCACTGGAAAGTATCTAAAATACAACTAATGATATTTTAATATCTGAATACTGACTGAAGGTGAAGTTGTATTTACATGCAAAGAAAGGATGGACCCTCCCTCTCAGACTGAGTTTATGAAACTTAAATTAGTTTTAATGTTTGCTACAAATGGGGGAAAACACCTCAGCCAGACAGCTGTGGTTAAACCCTGTTCACTTTAATTGTGTGTTAAACATCTGTGTTTTCAGTATTTAGAACACATTTCTGTGAATCACCATCAACAAACTGAGATATCAGGTAGAAACTAGAATTACAGGCAATTTGTGAATGTGAAAATTTCCAATCTTCTTAGTAATTCATCTTTGCTTAATGCTGTCTTAATGTTATCGAAGTGCTCTTTTTTTAAAGGCAGCAGTGTTATTGATTACTTAATTTATTGTACTGTTACTGTCCATTCAGATGTGGAAAGAAACAGAAACATGCTGCTGTTTGCAGATAGTTAATAATCAGCTCTAAACAGAAGCTGAAGAAGAGTCCAGCCTGTTACTCTTACAGTATATAATGAATGACTTTTCTCTGTTTCTCATATAAACCGTTTCAGTGCCTCATCTTTGGCAGCCTGCTGCATGAATTAACATCCTTCTGTTCGGTAAAGTCAGAGCAGCAGAACTAATGTCTGAACTACAGCGCTGACTTTTAATTAACATTCAAGCTCAACAGAGTGATTTCTTTAGTCGGGGGTGAATTCATTCATGTGCACAGATTAGCCACCGAACACCGGCTTAGCTTACTCCTCGTCGTAGCTAGTTATAGCTAAGGATGCTAATTTACTAGTTAGCTTAAAATCACACATTTTACTCATAGAAAAAGTACAACAGTGCCTCTGATCACTTATGTTGGTTAGTTCAGTTTACTGCAGAATACAGCATGCTGTTAGCTTTAAACAGAGAGTGTGGTTATGGGAAGTAAAGGTTGGATCTTCTCTCAGTCTTCATCTGCAATTCACAACAGAGATATGAGAGTTTCTCCTGACAGGAGCTGTCAATCAAAGACATCACCGTGATATCACACCCTAATTTTACAGCTTTGGGTGAGTAATTTGAAGCATAATCATGAGAAAAGTGACCACCCTTGAACCCAAATCAGCATGATGAGAACTACTCATCTTTGGGAAAACCTTTTTTTTTTGTTTAGTTTGACAGCTCTGTGTTTGACAGCGAGTGTCTGTGGTCATCTGTTAAACACAGTGGAGGCTCTGTCATGGTTTAGGGCTGCATTTCAACCATTGATGTTGGTGTTTTTTGCAATTATGAATGCAGAAAAGTACTTTCAAATATTAATCCATCATCCAATGCCATCTGGAAAGAGCCTGATTGTCAGCAGCTTCAACTTTCATCCTAAACACACTGGTAATGCAGTAAAAGCATACCTGGGTAGAAAAACACACAGGGGAACCTTATGAGTCATGGATTGGCCTCCCCAGATTCGGGACCTCAACATTATTGAAGCGGTGTGGAATCAACTTGACACAGAACACAACAAAAGGCAGCCAACGTCCAAAGAAGAGCTTTGAGTGTCCTTCAAGAAGCCTGGAGAACTATTCCTGAAGACTACTTAAAGAAATGACAAGAAAGCTGCCTGGGTTCAGGCTGTGTTATAGAATAAAGGTGGTCATAACAAATATTGAATAGCAAGCTGATTAGAATTGTACGAACTCTGTTTTTGATTTATATGCTATATTCCAATGTATATTTGCATGTTTCAATAAATAGCTGGAAGGAACCCTTCCACACCGCGGGTATGAGACATAGTTCAGTGTTTGTGTGGTCAAGAATAGTGTTAAGGTCTAACAATGTGCCACTGTGATCTGAGTCTTCTGTAACAGTTAATGGCTTCTAAGCAGAGTCCATGTTCAGGTTGTTTGAAAGCAGTTTAGGATTTATGCGATGTTTGGAAAACAAGAATTACAATAAATGTGCATTTTTGTCTTATAACACAGCTTACCCAACTAATCTACCCCAAAACACATTTTCCAACTTTCCAGTAACTGTTTCTCTCATTTATGAGGTAATTTAAATTAAGGTATATTGCATATTACAGAAATTAAGTTGACTTCTCCTTTATGATAGTGATGCTGCATCTAAATTTTCTGAAGCAATGAGTTTGCACACTTAAGTAAAGCCAACTTGTAAGATTTTACCTTGTAGTTCCCACAGGGCCGTAAAGTAAACTGTTGACGCATGTAGATGTACAGAGTACATATTTACACATACTGCACAGATTTACTTTCATTTCCTGGGGGGCTGAACACATTTGACCTTTACCCCTAAACCACGATTCAAACTGCACTCCTAAAATTTCTTAGTTTACCTGAGAGAAAGCTACCTTTATCCTGCTATTGAGATTCCAGTCTCTACAGTGTGATTAATACAACTGTGGACACACACACACCACACACACAAATTAATAGCTGTCACTGTAAGCTTTAGCAGGCACAGTACCGCCTGCTGTAACCTTTCCCTGGATTACCAATATAACTCCTCATCAGGGTGTTAGCTCAGCACTAGCAGGGGAGGAAAAGGCAAGATTGATGCTATTTGTCTCCTCACACATGCTAAGATAGAGGTCACATCTTACTGAACTAAGACAAGAGAGACAAAACACAGTCTCTTTCTCCACATTCATTCATTCTCCAGCAGTAAGAGAGAGGACTCAAAAATGAAGCAGTTTGAGAGCCTGACCTCATTTCAAAGATGAAGATACAGAGTCATTTATAGCTTCACATAGACAGATGGACTGGCAGACAGATGGACTGGCAGATATAGTGGGTATTTTAGATCTGATGAAGCATATAGTGGCATGAGCACATGGAGTGGATCTTGTTTAATTTAATTCGTTATATGCCTAATATTTATAATATTTGTGACAGAGGTATTGATATGTAGTTGTGCACAAAAAGGGACACTAAAAGTATACATGCATGTGTGT